TATGTATATATATACGTATACGTATATGTATATGTACATGTTTTATATGTATACATATGTGTGTGTGTGTGCTTATATATATATGTATATGTATATATATGTATGTATATATATGTATGTATGTATGTATTTATTTTTATTGTAAATGTATATGTATGTCTATATATATGTGTGTTAGTGTATGTGTGTGTCTGTGTGTCTGTATGTCTGTATGTATGTATGTATATTTAAATTTTTTATATACATACCTATCTGCATCTATTTATCTATCTATCTGTCTATCCTTCTATCTATGCATATTTATATTTATGTATTGATGTGCATCTATACTATGAATGTGCGTATGTATGTATTTATTTGCGCATGTATGTATATATAAATAGTTATTCGTGTAATGTATATTTAGTTACGTAAATTTTTACATCATTTATAGTCCTTTGAGTGAAATGACGAGACTTTTCACCTTCAATATCGAATAATAAATACAGATTGCTTGTATGTATACTTCAAACCGAAACCGATCATGAACACTATCGATACTTTAATTTCTAAAATATAGATGGCGTTATATGATTTATATCTGAATATACTAATATCCGTTTTCTGAACTTCACGCGTCGAATCAATCTATTCTAAGTTTATACTGCTGCCGTCCAGTGCAGAATTGCTTAAGAACTCCTAATCTAGTACTCTCCTAAAGTTCACTCGTTGTAGTGTTGCTCGTCAACGCGTACTCCAGTAGTCCAGTGCCGCCTTGCGTGGTAATGCAACTGAAGAGGTATGTCTCAATGCTAACGGCAGATACAAACTTTCAAAAATGTACAGTTACCAATTGTTTACTTGGGTACTTATTAAAAGTTGTCACGCATAATACGCAATGGTTTTCTAAGTAATAATCCCTGTAGTGATTGTTTCGGTTATGTTGTTGGACGGTCGAATTCGTAAAGTTGCGTTGAATACATACATACATACATACATACATACATACATACATACATACATACATACATACATACATATACATATACATATACATATACATATACATATTACATATACATATACAAATATTTCGTAATTAGATTGTTTAAGTTCTGGCATGTGATTGCACTGTGTATGTAGAATCGATTTCAAAATAATTAAGAGAATAGGTGTAAAGTTAAAGTAGTATGTCCAGTAGTTGTACATACGTACATATTCGAGTTGCAAGTTTATTGCAATCGCCCCAACAGGACAGTAAATATGTACGTATTTCAATTCAAAAGCATGGTTGAGGTTTTAATAACAAGGCACATGCCAATGGTGCCAACGGCGTACATCTGCCGCTTGGATTTCTTGGAAGCTAAAAAAGTAGGTCTCTTCCTGACTCTCGTCCCAGGTTCCACCCCACTCAGTTTGTGGAGGTTGCCAAGTATATGTATGCCAACTGTCAACTCGCCAATCACGAGCGTTGCGACTGATGACTGGTGACCTGGGGCCTAACCTCATTACGTTTCCCGTTAAAACGCAAAAAAATCAAAAATCAAAATCATAAAAGCGTTTACGTTCAAAGTTTATCCTAAATAAAGTCCTATGGGTTTACAAATAGGTACATTTTCTGAGGCGGCCTAACTGTCACGAATTGCCCTATTTTTCAGTTTGTGAGTTGTGAATAGTTTCAAATCGCCTTTTCATTTTAAAAAAAAGGTCAATTTCTCAGGTGCAAATTTAGAAAGTTTTCATGGTCGATTTGCCCCCGATATACTTTAAAAAGCTTAAAATACAAAACTTTTTGTGTTTACGTTTAATGTTTATCGCGTATAGGCAAAACGTATTGAGCTTAGCCTGTGGCTGAGGGATGGGGTGACCTGATTGGCCGAGTCGCTGACAGGCTGACTGGCACTCTGACACTCAGAGAGCCTGACCCTGAGGCCCTGAGTCTGAGTCTCTGAGAGAGAGAGAGAGGGGGTACATAGCGTAGTACATAGAGACTCTCTCTAGAGAGAGTAGTACTGTACGTATGTAGTTAGTAGTTGAGGCTCACTCTAGAGTAGAGAGTTTAGACTGTAGAGTATAAACCGACAACCGTACATGCCTCACAGCCACGCCCACGACTACATAATTCAGTAATACTCTACTCTCTAGTATGTAATACATACAATCATACATACAGTTACATTGTGACAGCCTACAAGCCACACCGCCTTAGGCCCACATCCACAGCTGGGAGCTAATACTGAGTAAGGTGGTCTGGTGCCTTCTGCTGGGCCTTCTGGGCGGTGGCCGATGGGCCTGGTCCTCTGAAACTCAGTAACTGATATGTAGGCTGGAAGTCGGAAGAGTGGAAGCTTATAAAATAAATGAGTAAATGTGATGTATTTATAGGAGTATAGAATACAAAGTATAGAGCGAATATTCTCCCTATCTACTCTCTATTTGGACCCTCTAAGTAGAGTAGTAGCTCAAAGCCTCAATCGGTCAATCAGAAGGATGACTGTACTCTCTATTACTCAATTTTAGACTTTTAATTTACTCTATCACATCGTTTTTATTTAATGAAAGGTTTCCGTTTATGTTGTGCATGTCTTTTTGTCTCGTTGTCCGTTCAATTTTACAACTCCAGCCCCAGTCTAAAAATCTTTACAGCGGTACTTCACCACATGTAGAATACCGGCAATTATTTGCCTCTGAAGCACTTGCAGACAGTATTTAAGCACTGTGTTCACGACCCATATCACCATCACATCATCAATACTTTAACTTTAATATATTCTAAGTTTTGAAAGTACATAGATCCTTAAAATGAGTACTACTGATACACTACTGACTGGCAG